GGGGTCATCTAGACCCAGCCCTCTTTCCTGCTTATGCAGGGCGTTGGACTTGATGATCTATTGAGGTCCCTTCCGACCCTAGCATCTATGAATCAATGACTCTAGGGCCTGCCCTGTTGCCCTCCAACCAAGCAGGTGGCCCTCCTCTGAACCCTCTCAAGGCAGGCCACATCCTTCTTAAAGTGCGGTGCCTAGAACTGGACGCAGTACTCCAATTGAGGTTGGACCAGTGTTGTGTAGAGGGGGAGTATCACCTCTCTGGACTGGCTTGAAATGCATCTTTGGATGCACGACAAGGTGCAGTTGACTTTGCTGGCTGTGGTCTGGCATTGGCGGCTATGTTCATCTTGGAGTCAATAACTCCAAGATCCCTTTCTGCCTGTGCTCACAAGGTGGGGAGCTGGGGGGAGCTCCCCAGCTTGTATGTGTGCTGTGGATTCCTTCTCCCCAGGTGCAGCACCCTGCATTTGTCTACATTGAAGCCCATCCTATTATCATCCATCAACTTCTGTAGTTTGTCTAAATCTAATTGCAGCCTCTCTCTCCCTCGAGCGTGCCTACCTCTCCCCACATCTTGGTGTCTTCGGCCAACTTGGACTACATGTTTTCCACCCCCTCGTCCAAGTCGCTGATGATGTTGAACAGCGTAGGCCCCAGGACTGAGCCCTGGGGGACCCCACTGTTCATATCCCGCCAGGTCGAGTACGACCTGCCCACCGCCACTCTCTGGGCATGCCCCATCAGCCAATTTCTGACCCATCCAACTGTGTAGGCCTCAATGCCACAGTCACTCTGGAATGGGGTAAGAGACAGTGTCAAAGGCCTTTTTAAAGTCCAGAAAGACTATGTCCGCGGCAACACCATCATCCAGGGATTTAGGCACCTGGTCATAAAAGGCCATCAGGTTGGTCTGGCAGGACCTGCCTTTGATGAACCCATGTTGATTTCCCCTGCTGGCCCCTCACAGATATGCTCCTTGATAATTTTTTCAAGGATTTTCCCCAAGACTGATGTAAGGCTTATGGGCTTGTAGTTTCCTAGGTCCTCCTTTCTCCCATTCTTATCGATGGGGACCACATTAGCTAGTTTCCAATCTCCGGGTACCTGGCCCGTGGACCATGATTGCTTGTGCAGCCAGGCCAGGGGCACAGCAATGACCCCTGCCAACTCCCTCAACACCCATGAGTGGAGGGCATCAGGGCCCGCAGATTTAAAAACATTCAGCCCTTCCAGAAGATCCCTAACTACATCTGCGTGGACCCGAGGCCTGGCAGTGTTATCCTCAAATTTGCCCCTACCTGTGGTGGGAGAGCTGTCCTGTTCCCTGTCCAAGAAAACAAGGCAAAGAACTGGTCAAAGATTTTGGCTTCCTCATCTGGCGTAGCCACAAGATTACCATTTGAGTCTAACAGAGGTCCTACATTACCCAGTGCCCACTTCCTGCTCCCAATGTATTTGAAGGACTTTTCGTTGACCTTAATCCTGGTCGCTAGCCTGAGCTCCATCTCTGCCTTGGCCTTCCTAATGGCCCTCCTACACTCACAGGCCAAGTAGTATTCCTCCTTGGCGATAGCCCTTTTCTTCCAGCTGGTGTACGCCTCCCTTTTGGCCCTCAGGCATTCTCGAATGCCTTTGCTGAGCCATGGGGGTTTTCAGAGCACTCTTCCCCCTTCTTTCTCTCAGGGACTGTTACATTCTGAGCCTGGAGGATCGTCCCCTTAAGGTACGACTATCCCTCATGGATTCCCATATCCTCGACCTTTTGGGCCCTCAGTGCCTCCCCCACTAATCTCCTAAATTCATTGAAGTTGGCCCTTCTGAAGTCAGGGGCTTTAGTCTTGGGATAAGCCCTCAATACCCTGCGCTGGATGGTGAATTCCAGCAGACGATGATCACGGTCACCCAGGTGGTTAAGGACCTGCAGTCCCCTCATCAAGTCGTCCCCAGTGGCCAAGACCAGGTCCAGCAAGGCTTCTCCCCTAGTGGGGCTCTGCACCTCCTGGATAAGGTGGAGGTCCTGTATTTCAGCTAGGAACCAATCTTCTTGAAACTTGACACGCATCATGCCCTCAGAAGGGTCTACGATTCCTGCAAGTTTCATCCAAATCTGGCCAGAAATAACAAAGTTATAGACCGTTTTGACCTTCCCCATTACAGCCTCCAGGCGCAACTTAGAAACGGCATCGAAACGTTGCGACTTGCCTCATTTTGAGGCTGTTTTGATCATATCCGTTTTGTTTTGATTTTGCTGTCTCAACCTTGAAACAAAACTGGTGGCGAAATTTCGCACAGCCCTAATCCAGAGAGGTTATGGGATCTTCAACCTTGGACAGTAAGGGCTAGGTAAAGCCTTGGCTAGGATAATAGTTGAGGATGGACCTGTTCTGAGCAGGGGGTTGGACTAGAATTGACCTCCTGAGGTCCCTTCCAACACTCATGTTCTCTGATTCTATGAAGGGACAAACCATGTTTCATAGGGAAGCTCTCTCCAGGCCCATGTGTCAGCGGTGTCCATCTGTCCAGCACAAACTCTCAGATGTCCCTCCTGCTAATAATGTGAAGGCCCTACACCTCAACCCCTTCAGAATAAAAGTAATCACAAGCCATTTTTCCTTTATATTTTAATATAATCCTTTTGGGTGGAAGCAGAACAAGGCTTAAGCCATTCTCCAGAGTGGGGAGGGAAGGGGAGGAAGGAACCCAGCAATGGGCCAAAGACAGCCCCAACCCCTGCGTAAAATAGACCATTCCAGTAGAAACCCCTCCCCTCCCATTCATATAAATTAAACTCTCACTCTCCTGAGACAGGAGTGGGTGTAGAAGAGCAGCTCTAAAAATAAACACCTCTTACGTTAGATCTCCCCCTCCTCAAAGGTCCGGCCCCACCCCTGTGGCTGTGGCCCCGCTAGCTCTGCAAGAGTCCTTCCGTTGTGGGTGGTCGTGGAGCTGTGGAGGTCTCCGAGAGGGGATGGGCAGGTCCTTGAGCAGCACCTCCCCAGAGCCAAGTCACTCCCGGGGCCGGTTGATGATGACCTCGCCCAAAGCCTCCAGCACCTCCCGCTTGTAGTCCTCGAAATCGCCATCAATTTGGTTGACGGATCGCTCCTCCACCACCCACAGCTGACAGCTGGTCTCTGTGATCAGTCGTGCATCGTGGCTGACGACGATGACCGCTGCAAAGTGGAGGAAGAAGGCAAAGCATAAGAGGGGTACTGGCTGGAGCCATTTCCAGACTGGAGGAGAATGGAAAGTCCTCATGGTTTTTCCATCAGCCACTGCTAGGACAGGGCTGGGCCATGAAGGACATGACTGGGACCCAATGGGGACCCTGGCAGGAGGGTACTGCTTCTAGTGAATCAACCCTCCCATGGGACTCATAGGCTCACCTCCAGCCTAGTAACCCTTCTACTTCCCTGAAGCCCCAGACTGGACCCCCATCCATGCTAGCCTGGATCTCACCCATGGACCTATTACTACTTTCCTCTGCCAGATAGGACCCACAAGGCCACCCTAGCCCACTATCACCATCTACCCTTGAGTTCGATCCATGGGCCCAGTATCCCCCCAACCCTGTCCTCCTCTTGTCAGGCTAGTGGATCCTTCCCACCTTGATGCTTCTACTCACCTCCTTTGTACTCGTTGATGGCATCACCCAAGGCATCAATTGACTCAATGTCCAGATTATTTGTGGGTTCATCCTGGGGAAATGACAAATCCCAAATAAAACCCAGGAGTCCTGAGCCACAGAACCTTCCTCCCTCTACACACACCCACCCCGCATCCCTCAGCTAGAGACAGGACCCAGGCATCTTCACAAACCCTGTCCCTCACTCGGACCTGCTGGACATCACTCCTTTCCAAGAGCCAGAGCAGGACACAACCTAAGAGCCCCAATTCTCATGCTCACTCTGCTCTAACTGGCTGGACCCCCTCCAAATTCTTTCCCAGAGCAGGGAACTAATCAGAACCCCATTCCCATCACCTAACACTCACCAGGATGAGCACATCGGGTTCCCTGCAGGACAGCTCAGCAAACACTACACGGGCTTTCTGCCCCCCTGCATAGGAAAAGAAAAGGGCCCCGAGACATGTGGGGTGAAACAATCCCTTCTCCTTCCCCAAAATGCCATGATCCAACTTCCCATCCAACAGCAGCTCAGTGCCCTTCACTCCCACCCTGGGGAAGGGCAAAGCTACTGGAAGTGCTACCTCCTGCCTCAGCTCTCCCCTGCATGGCCAAACCCACACCCCTCCCAGAAGCACACAGTTCTAGCCCATCCTGGACTTCTACCTCAATGCCAGCCCTCACCTGTGGAGACCCAGACTATCTTTCCCTTTGCCTCAACCCTCACACCTCCTGATCAGCTCCCTGTGTAGCTCCTTTGTATTCACTCTGCCCTCTGCCTGGAAGCCCCCGCCCCATACCTGACAATTTGCAGATCTGGATGGTGTGAGCGTGGCTCTCGAGGCCGAAACGCCCCAGGCACTTGCGAGCATCCTGGTAGGGCAGGTTGAAATTGCGCTGCAGGTACTCTGTGGCCGTCTCCTGCATGTTGAGCTGGTCAGCGTACTGCTGGTTGAAGAACCCGACTTTCTGCCAGGAAGGAAGGGGATGGGTTTCACCACCTGTTGCGCTGCTCAGCCCTGTCCAGGTCTCCCCCCACTGCTCTGCAGGTGTCCCTCACTCTGCCCCACACCCATTCCTTTAGCCATGGGCTCTAAACACCCCTCAACCCTGTAGGGCAGGGCAAAATATGGCCCGTTCACTCTGTCCGACTCTACTTGGCCCGTGGGGCACCTACAAAAGTTTAGAAGATAAATATTAATCTGCTCCAGGCTCCCTGTCAAAGCTGACAGGAGCCAGGACAGTAGGACCCAGGGGAAGCGGCATGAGTCAGAAGAAAGCCAGCCCAACCCTGACCCCCCACTGGGAAGTCTCTCCCTGCCCAAGCTTTGCCTGCAAGGGCTGCTCCAGCACCACCTGGCCCCTGCTGAATCGCTGGACTTGGGGGAGCAGGGGTGTACTGGTGGTGGGTGGGTGGTTAGCAAAGTACAGTGTGTGCATATATGTATATATAGTCAGCAAAGCACAGTGTGTGCACGCAATAATGGAGAGGGAGTGTGCGTGTTTGTAGGGTGAGTTCCACAAGCACCCCCCCACCATACACATGCACCCCCCTTCACACTGCCGTACACGTAGACCCCCCCACACCCCAGCCACCCTCCCCCCACAAAAGCCCCATACCCACCCAGACCCCACATATCCACACACCCACATGCTCCCTGCCCCTACACACCTATACCTACACCCCCTCATGCCCCCAACACCCTCACAGTATACAGGAGTAAGACTTCATTTAAGCTATTGTGCAATCACCTCTATGCACACTATGCAAACGCATGTAAATCAGGACAAAAGCATTTTTTGAAATCAAATCAATTAATGTTGTAGATGTTTGATTTTTAGAATATAATTTGGTGTTTTTCTGGCTGAGATGGCAAAACCCCTTGCTGAAATGAGTATTTCTGGGGGCAAAGGGAGGGGCTTCTGATGAGAAAGGTCAGGGGTTAGGGGAGGGACTTCTGATCCCAAGATGGCGACCAGGGGGCGGGGCACCTGTAAGGAGGCAGGACTATCCATGTGGCCCTCAACAGCTTGCCAAAACTTGGTAAACAGCCCTCCACCCAAAATAATTGCCTGCCCCTGCTGCAGGAGCTCCACGTTACCATCCAGTCATCACTTACTAGTCTGTGGTTTTTCCTCATCTCCCCTTTCGTCTGGAAGATAAAGAAAACACGGATTAGAGCCTGTGAGGTACCCCTCTGCCCTGACAAGTTCACAGGCTACTCAATAGTATGGCAGGCAGATGGCTCAGACAGCACTGAAATGCAGCTGCTGGTAGGGTAGCTGCATGACAGAAACAGTGAGAGGCTGCCTAGGACCACTTTGCCTACTGTTGCTATGCAGCTGCCACTGGGGTCATGAGTAGCCCCACAGCCGCTCCAGATAGAAAGCAAGAGGCAAGCATCACTCATAGGCGAGTCTAACCAGGGCCCTGGGGTTGGTAGCCTTACCGGCGTGAGCTTGCCCGTCAGCAGCAGCAGCAGTGTACTCTTCCCAACACCATTGGGACCCACGATACAGACTGAGACCAAGTGAGAGGGAGAGAGAGAGACGCAGTTACAAAGAGAGCCCAGCAGGGTACAGTGCTATTATAGGGTCTCCAGCAACCTGGGTAGAAGCTGGTGGTTTAAGATCACAGGGGCTTTTCCCCAAGGCTGTACACGCCCCATTACTGCTGGGGCTGCACTTGAGTCTGTTTGTTACTGTTGAGTCCCCAAGACTCTCCTGGCTGGGTGCCAGCATAGGGCCTCCCTCCCTGGGACTGCATGTGCCATAACAGGTCACTCACTTCTGGACTCCATGTCGATTCCAAAATCCAGGTTCTTGAAGAGTGGTTTCTGCCCCTCATAGGTAAAGTCAACACCTGCAAGGGAAGGGGCAATGAAAAGAAATCAGCCCATCTGTTACAACCCAGCAGCTCACTGATAACAGGGCCAAGGTAAATCTGGACTCCTCAATGCCTTGTGTCCCCAGGCGGTAAGAAGGGATCAATCACCTGACCCTGATGTGGCTCTTTGGGATAGCTGGTCAAAGGGATGCAGCAGTTGCAGGCAAGAATGGAAGGGAAAGCCTTCATCTAATTATGACTGTGGGATGGGGAAGGAAACCAAGCTAGCAGGGTTGTGGCCAGGACGCCAGGGTTTATGTCCCCCATTCCACCTTGTGTGAAGCATCAGGGATTGTTAACAACTGTCAAGGCTTTAGTGGTAGTAGCAGCCACAGGTGGCACAGGGCCTCGTACAGGCAGGCTGGGGCCTGCTCCCTGCTCTGAGGCTGAGAAAGAACTCTCTCTACTGAACCCCCAGCTGCTCCCTGCAGCACAGTACCCACTAGCGCTGCTCTGGGACAAGGAGCCCAGCACATCCGGAAGGGAGAGGGCACTCTGCATGCCCCTGCAGCACAGCACTTCCCAGTGCCCAGGGCCTACCGTGCAAGCCCAGGATGGGGGGGCTGAGCGGTGGCGGGTTGGGGAAGGTGAATTTCACTGTGTACTCCCGGGGCCTCTTCAGCAGCTCAGGGGCCTCATTGGACTCCTCATCCAAGTTCTTCTTGCGGCACTTCTGCTGCTTTCGGGTCAAAGCCTCTTTTGTCTGTTTTTCCTGGAGACAAACAGTGCCATTAGCTAACCTAGTGCTGAGGCCTGCCCCTCTGGGGCCTGGCCTGGGAAGGGGACACCAGCTGGGCAGGCAATCTCCCCAGCTTCAGCCCACCCCAGCCTGGAATAAGTGTTTCCGTTGTGGCCCTCATGACCCCCACCATGCCCTGCTATTGTGACACCCAGTTGTGATTTGGTGAGGTACCTCTCCCCGAGCAACATTTCCTGCAGGCCAGTCAGAGTTTATTGCTGTGGGGAAATCTGATAGCAAAAGTCCCCACCACTGTAAGCCAGCCTGTCCCCACTGACTGGGGACCAGCTTAGAGCCACCATCTCCAGAGGGAAGAGGTCTCATGCTACGTACCTGCCCCCCTGGGCCACACAGTGCCCCTGGAGTCAGTCTGGATCTCAGGACTTACCGCCTGTTTTGTGGACTTTCCACCGGCCTTAAGGTCTTTAAGCTTCTTTTCCTGCTTCTCATACTGTTTGAGCAGCTCCTTCTGTTTCTGCTGGTACATTTTCTTGAAGGTCACTGTCAGAGATGGGGACAGTAAGGACTCTGAGCTGGGTCTCAGGGGACCTGGAGTCAATTCCCACCTCTACCACCAGTTCCCTGTGTGCAAGCTGAGGAAAGGACACATCCACCTCTTCCCAACCCTCCTATGTGGAAGACCAATCCGTCAGGATATGCTCCATTGTGGGGATATGCAGTTAGGCCCAGTTGAAAGTTACTTCATAAAAAACAGGCTTTTACAGGGAAAAGTAGGTTTCCACTCAAGCCAGATTTTGAGCTAAAAGCATCTGCTTGAGAAGGGAGGGGGGGCAAGGACCTTGATTTTGTAGCACTGCCCAGAAAGCACCCATTTTTCCCTAACAAAACAGGATTCCCTGGTCAGGCTAGTGCATCAAATTGATACAGAGCAGCAATGAGTCCTCATAACGCATCATAAAAGATGCAACGTGTTAGGGGACTCTGTGTTACAAGATCCTCCAGAGGACATGTCCCATGATGCACTGAGATACCCAAGATGCACTATAGCAGCTCAGTGTGAAGTCTGCACACTGGGAAATATAGTTGGATGAGAAGAAAAAACAACCAAAAACCCACAAAATAAAATGTGGGAGCATGAACTTCCTGCACTATGATATCACAAGAACCAATCTCTCAATACTACTCAGCTGCTCATTAAGAAGGGAGGTTAAGGGAAAATGGCCAGGAAACCTGGCCTACAGAGTAGATGGGGGGGCTAACAGTGCAAATCATCTGAACTACATCTCCCATGAAGAACCACAGCTGTACAGTACTCACATTCGTTACCATTAGAGGGAGACAGACAGACCTGGGTCCTGGAGGCACAGAGACTTTGACAATGTATGTGCTAGATGTGTCACCACCCCCTCCACCCCACACACACACACTTACTGTAGTTGCCCCGGTAGTAGAAGAGCTTCTGAGTGTCCAGGTGAATGATGTCTGTGCAGACATCATCCAGGAAGCCCTGGTCATGGGAGACAATGAGGAGGGTTTTCTTCCATGTCTGCAGGTAGCTGTGTGGGTGGAAAGGGGACGAGAGTCACTGTCAGACAGATGGATGGATCCCAGGCTCAGAGGAACCTCTTCCACCCCCATGGCTCCGCGGCACTGTGGGGATGGCCATGACTGCACTCAAGACCTGCGAGTGGGGGCGGCACAGCAGGCTTCTCACCCACTCTTCCCCCTTCCCGCTGAGCCTGCCTGAAGCCCACGGGATACCCTCAGCCCTTCTCAGAAAGGAAAGCCACCTCTGTCACAGCTTATAACCACTCTAGGGCATTCTCAGCCCCATACCAACAGCCACAAGACCCTACTCACACACCCCAACCCAGCTGAGAATGAACCTCCCCCTCCTTCCACTGGGCCCACTGGTAAATAAGGGGACACCTTCCCACCTCCAGCCCAGGGCAGACAGCCTCTGATCCCAGCCAGGGGGCTGGAGACTCACTTGTTGAGCCAGATGACAGCATTGAGGTCCAAGTGGTTCGTGGGCTCATCAAGCATCAGAAGAGTTGGCTCCATAAATAAGGCCCTGAAAGGGATATGAAGGACAGGTGAATGGCACTTTTGTAAGTAGTACCCTGGGCAAGAAGAACAGCCTTTCCCATCTATGGGAGCTGGTGACAGGGGTGATCACTCTGGCCTGGGGGTAACAAGATTGTCAGGTCTTAGTGTAGCTCCCCACTGGGCCAAGGGAAGATGGCTAGCAAACCTGGCCGACGGAGTACATGGGGGGGCTAACAGTGCAAATCATCTGACCTACATCTCCCATGAACAACCACAGCTGTACAGTACTCACATTCGTTACCATTAGAGTCTGCTTCCTGTACTCAGTGGCACTATTTGCCTCCTCCGCTGGAAGGCCTCGCAAACAAGGCTGCAGGGCACACAGGCCTCAGAGCCACCAGCAGAGGATTCCAAATACACTGAGGGAACACAGCTGAAGTGCTGGGGAGTTCCTCATGACCACATCCCCAGGCTGTAGGACAGACCTGTGCTCAGACATCCACCCCCCCCGTCTTGTTCTTGGAAGTGCTGTGAGCTGGGAGGGGTGGGGATGGAACAGGATCTGGGTCTACCTCCCACCCCCACCCCAGCTGGTGCACCCATATAAAAGTTATCTCCCTGCAGGCCATTGCACAGGGAAGGGGCTCAGAGCCATGTTATACCCTCACCTGGCCAGAGACACCCTCATGCGCCAGCCACCCGAGAACTTCTTGGTCTGCCGGTTCTGCATCTCAGGGTTGAAGCCCAAACCAGCCAAGATGCGCCGGGCCTTGGCCTCTGCTGCAGCTGCCCCCATGGCCCGGAGTTCCTCGTAGACCTGGGGAGGGGGAGATGCGGGCACTAAGGATGCGAGTCTAACAAGGACAGGGAGTCCACCGCCCTGTACTGCAAGCACCAGCACTACTTGCCTCATTCCACTTCCACTGCCAGAGCCTGACCCTGCTTCCCAGCGCCTCAACTCCCTCTTGCCAATACACCCATAACATATTGGCAACCTTCACACCCAGCAGCGATCACTCAGCTTCCATCACCCCCAGGTGTGACATCTCAGAGCAGTGTCCCTGCTACTCCACGGCCCTCCCTGTACCTTCTCCAGCCGCTCAGCCACACTGTCATCCCCCTTCTCCAGCAGAGCCTGCAGCTTTTTCTCCTCTTCCAGCAGCTTCAGGCGTTTAGTGTCAGCTTTCAGCACAGCCTGGACCGCAGGGGTCTCATCCGCTACCACCTCTGGGGAGAGGAGCTGTGGGTGAGGGGAAGGCTTCCCCCTCTAAGCAGTAGACCCTTCTCTAGTCCCCATGCAGGTGGAAGGGAGCCAGAAGTCCCAACTCCCAGCCCTGCTAGTAGACCCCACTCTCTCTAGGACCTGAGATGGACCCCAGGCATACTAATGCCCCTCCTGCCTCCCTTTACCTTGCTCACAGAGCAGCACATCAATGTTGGGTGGGATACTCAGGGCCCGGTTTGCAATGTGCTTCAGCAGGGTGGTTTTGCCTTTCCTGCAATGAGGGAGGGGCAAAAAAATAAAAACCCCATGGACAAAAGCAAAGGGAAACCACCAGCCCCTTGTCACAGCTCCAGCCCTGTCCCCTGCAGTGCCACACCCCCTGCTGAGCTCTCCATATACCTACCCGTTGGGTCCCACGAGGCCATACCGGCGCCCGGCCACGATGTACAGATCCGCATTGACAAAGAGCTCTTTGCCATGAGCCGAGATGCTGAACTTCTCCAGCTGCAATGATGGGGTTACTGATACTGCTGCCATCAGAATAAAATGCTCTGCTCCCCCACCCCAAACGAGCTACATGGAAGATCTACCCTCTCCCCCTGCTCCCCACCATTACAGCTCCCATGGGAGGATCCATTCTGCACGCAGACTTTAATTGCAAGACCCACTTCTGCCAGCGGGTACACTCCACTCAGGTTCTGTGGCCAGCTTTCTCCCACCCAAACTGCCCTCCCTTGGTACACCCCCACTTTCTGTATCAGACAAGACTCCACACAGCTCTGCAACCCACTCAAATGGTACCACTGTCCCTTCTTCCCCCTGGCCCAGTCCAGCCCAGGCTGGGATGGTTAGTTACATTCCACCTCACTGTCAACACCCATGTGGGACTACCAAAACCTCCTCTCCCAATTGAAACTGTCACATGCTACTGGGAAATGAAAATTTAAGCGTGGGAGGCAGGAATGGCTAGAATATTCCAGGTGAACGAGACACTAACTGTTCACATGCAGCTTCTTGACATGAGAAAAATTGAAGGTGGAGTAAGGGGAAATGGGCAGGCGAGGGGGGAGACTACGAGGGTATTCCAAGGGTGGGGTGGTCTTTACCTTGATATCAGAGGCATTTTCCAGCATGGCCTGACGTGAGGACATCTCTGCCTGCGACACTGAGAAGTCGTTTTCTGCCGCATTTGCTGCTTTCAGGGTTGCCACCTGGCGCTCATACTCCAGCTATGGGGAGACGAGGGTAAGACCTCAGCTGGAGGCACATGCCCCCACACCGCAGCTGAAGGACCCCGCGCATGGCCCTTGTGCTCTGCAGCCTTGTCACATTAGGATGTTCTTCCCCAGCCCTGGGGCCACCTACCCTAATACAAGAGAATGGGGTCCATTCCCAACCTTTCTTCCTGCCTGCTGTCTTCCCGTAGCCAATCTGACCTGGCCAGGGTTGGATTATCCTTCCTCACCACCTGGTTCATATGGGAACCCCCTGCACCACGCGGACTCTCACAGAACCCACCGACCTAGTCTGTCTGGGCTGCCAGTCACATCTTGACCAGCTAAGTGCACAAGCACCAAAAGGGGAACCTCTGGGGCCATGATGTGTCAAGCAGAGGCACAGGTTGGGGGGGGGGGGGGGGGGGG